AAGAGAGGTCCTTTGAGATTGTTTGAAACAGTTAGTCTTTCAGTTCGCATTGCATTGCCCATTGCCCCAAAACAACTCCCAGCCTCGGAACAACAGCACTGGCAGAGCGGGTCACACCATTCACAGCACCTCAGCTGTAAACCAATGCCCTTGAAGCATGGGGGTGAATCAAGGCAAGGCTTGTGACTTGTGACTTTTACCTTTTACCCAAGCGAAGAGCATGATAACTGAGGGATACTGAGGGCATGTTTAACAAGTTTGTATAGAGTATATTGAGAATCTGATCTGAACGACTACACTCGTGTAGCGTCCCCAAAAACCTGGCAGCTGTACGCATGAGCACATTTGCAAAACAACCTTTTCCTCTCAGCTCAGCAATCATCCATATGCCATGAAAATCATTCTCTGCCCTCCTTCAAAGTACTATTCCCATGGACTCTACCTGGAGTCAGAAAGCCTCTTTGGCTTATTTTGGCCTATGCCTCACCTTGCGTCATTTGCTCAGGGGGCTGTTCTTGGGTTGCATCAATGAAAGCCGAACTGTGTTCATATTGTCGAGGTCTGCGTCAAAGAGCTCAGGATTCCGTTTGGCCAAAGGTAGCAGCGCCTCTTTGGTGAGCAAAGAAGTTTGGCAATCGAACTTCTCCCACACGTGGTTCAAAGTGAAGTTCGTGTAGCGCGACAGAGGGTCCACCTCCTTTGCTGGGACCTTCAGCTTCGCAAAAGCGCGATGCCATTTGAAGACATGAGCAATTTCCTTGGCCGCGGCCGACATCTCACCCTGTTTGTTCAACTTGGTTCAGAAATTTGAGCCAATAGGGCTACCAAGCACGTCTGGTTTCCACATGAGCAACGTGCTTTTGTGGATTTTTACTGGACTGTCACACCAAACGCCTTTCTATGTGCTATCTGGAAGTTTCAATCTGGGGCTCCCAGCTATATCTTGGCCGGGGCCTCAGGGGCGGCGCCTTTAAAAATGACTTCTGCAGTCCGTAGTGGTGGAAACATCACCTGCAAAAAGCCTTTTTGGTCTCCTCCATGAGGGGACTTCCTCTGGTGTCAAAGGATATGACGCAGGAGAAGAGTGCGGGGAAATAAAGCGGGTGGATCGCAAACATCCAAAACACCCGATGTGAACCTTTTCAGCCACAGGTGCATAAGGAGACTTGGCATCCCTGGCGATGAAGAGGCCTCGCAAAGGATCTCCACGCCTCACAATGTCACACGTCCACCGATTTCAACTACAAGGTCCAAGATGGCCCAAGCAACAATTTGCTGGTTTCGAAAAGACTCTGAAACTCAAATGTAAGCATGGTATTGGATGGGCAAAGCATTCTAGCATTGAAAGTTCACAAGATCTTGGGGATATTAGATAACTTCAGAGAAGAGCTTGAATCTTGTGCTGTTCTTGTTCGTTCATCCAAACCTGGTTGCGAAGCCATGCTTTCATCCACTGACCAGAGAATCATATGCACTTCTGAGATCCCTTGCCCACTTGGTCCAACCTTCAGCATTGGCGACTGCTGGGAAACTGATGTTTGCGTGGGATAAAAATCCTACGTAACCATATCGGCAAGAGTACAACAATGTTTCGTGAAAGCAATCTACGGGAACTCTGGTATAAGGAAGACTTGAAGAACAAGGAAGGTCTGACGCTTCTGGAATGACCTATCTTGTTCGCTTGTAACTGTGCTAGGGTGCCTTGACAGTTGCCAATCTATTTATGTGATTTATTCGTGATCACATATCACATATTCATTCTTTTCAGACTCGAATGAAAGCTGGTCTCAGGCAAACGTTCGCAACAAAAAATGTTTGTCTGCTTATCATATCTGATCATTGAGTTATCATGTAGTGTGCATGCAGCTTGGCATATACCATGTGTGTTCAATTGCAGTTCTCGCTCTTCCAGTGGGGCGAAACTCAAGACCATCAGTTTGATTTGAAAAACATGACTACAACAAACACTTCCAGCAAACAAACGCCTACAAAAATGTCCAAACGTCCCAATCGCCCCAGCCTTTCACTGGAACGTAACCCAGAGGCCGTAGGCTTGCCTGGCTCAAAGTATTACATCAGTGGGACAAGGTGCAAACGTGGAGGTGCGGCTTTTCTGAGCAAACCAAGCTTACTACTTGGCCAATTCGCCAATTCTGAACCTGAAAATAAAACGAATGAAACGAATGAAATAGAGGTGCCCTTCAGGTGCCCTTCGCTCATCTTCGTCTGCCCTTCGCAGTGCCACAAGCCTCGAGGCGATCTGCTCGAAGTCGCTCTGGAGGCGCCTGCGCCCAACGCCTCTGCGCTGTGGCTTCTGACACCTGGACCTGGCAACACGACGCCATGACACAGGTTTGATGCCACATGAAGTTCATTTGTTGTCATGAGCTGCCAAGCCCACTCTTTATTCGCTGGATGTGTTGACGATGTTCCAAAGACACGAATCTGGCACCAAACCCTGAGACGACCAGCACCTCCGCCCCTCCATGGCATGGTAGAGCGACTGGGGACTGGCTTCTCCACACCTGCACAAACTCTTTACATCACTGCGAGACTACAGTTTGATGGAAGTGGTGGGTGAAGGGATTTAAATCTGAGAGTGAATGAACAGCACCTCCAGAACATTTCCGATGGTTCACCAACAACATGTCATGGTGGCTCGCCTCGTATGTAGCTGCGAGGGCTCACCTGCGCAGCTGACCTTGGTCGCAAGTTCTGCTTGACGTTGCTTAACTATCATCCTACTACCGTTGGTGTCACCGCGGCCATCACCATCACCGTTGCCAGATTGCAATTCTGTGGCTGGAATACCAACAAGTGCCGTTAATCCATCACCCCTCGCTACTAGTGGCTATGTCAAGTGTGACTGACTCCGACATAGGGGGTGGACCCCAGGGTGTGTACTGACTCTGTCATTGGGTGACTGACTCTGTCCCCTTCCCCCCATCTGAGCTTAGATCTGTTGAGGATACCTGGCATGAAGGCGAGTCCATGACGCCATGTATGGATCGGAGATCAAATTACTGCTCTGGTGAAGCACCTTTTTTTTAAAGTGAGCAGGGGCAAAACATGCAACTTTGAAAAAATGCCGAGTAAGCGTCTTCAGGGTATGGCTTAGAAAGCGAGTGCAAAAATCAGAACCTCCTCTATATACACATCATAAAGCGCATTGTGAAAATGCGGAATCGATTACCGTACCTCGTTCAATCCTAACTTAGCTTGATATGCAGGAGTTGGCTGAGCAGCTGTCAACCTATCGTCGCATCCTGTGGGTACTTGGTATGAAAACAACATCACCACATGCAACATGCCGGCAGATCGGCTGATGCGCACCCCTGGGAGATGAACCTGAGGACTTAAACCAATTGGCAGCTGGGATGTCACCTTCAAGTACGCCTATGCAGCCGGTGGTTCTCCTAGCTTCCTCCTTAATGGTGGCTTTTCTGGAACTCCTTTCCGTTCAAGTCCTGTGGGTGTACCACGTATTCATTTCTCTTTCATCCTCTTATCTTACAAAGAAGGTCACTAGGGGTTGTGGATGTCATTACGCGGACTATGCGTCTATCGCTGCAGCCAGGCGGCTATAAACGCTTCCTCTGACCTTTGATCAAACGGGGGCGTCGGTCTGCAAGGTGTGGAGTCTGGATTCTGATATGTCGGATATGTGTCTTGCAAACTGCCCGAGTCAGAAGGAAGCAGCAGAGTTATCAAAGGACCTACCGTAGATCTACTGTAGTACCTACCAACATACTTCTCAATACCCAGACAGGTCAGCTGGGCCACTGGGTCCCCTGCAGATCCAACAGCAGGTTTTGGCCGTGTCGGCATTGACACCATTCCTGCAAGTGCAAAAGCATGAAATTCCAATGTGTATCGTGGTCCTTCTGTGCACCTCGATTCTCATCAACTGCACCAGACACTGCATTGTCACTATATCAAATGGAAGGACATAGCCAGACATAGCAAGGATCGCTGGTGATGCAAATCTGGAAAGCTGCAACCTTTCTCAGTATATTGTCAGAACATAATACCTGCAGAAGCAGTAGCTCCGAGCGCCACTGTTTATTGTCTGGGACCCCCACGCTCCACTGGCCCCCGTCGTGGACTCCATGCCATGGCGCGGGCCGGGCGCTTGTGGCCAACGGTAGATGTCGAGACACTCAACAAATCTCAACAAAGGGCCACAAAGGGAGGAAAAAAATTGGAATTCTGATGAATTCTGATATCTATTGATATCTTATCGTCAAAGAAATCTCTAAGCAGGTCATGTTTGATCTGCAACAAATGTGTCATTGCCTCTCGCTTCACAGATTGACTCGCATGAGCGCGTCCCGTGTAGATGTTTATTAGAGGTAGCCGAGCTGAAGCATTGTTTCCCATTTCCAAAGAGTCAAGAAAGGTTTCAGGATGGAAGGCCCAAGAGATGTAAGATATTTTCTGGTCTTATTCAAACTTGAGCAGACCCTGATCCTGCTATGATTTTCTCATGATCCTCCAATGGATCGCTAGCCGCTAGCATTTCCATCTATCTATGTACCTTTGAGCCACCCCCCTCTTGGCACCAGAAAGCATTTCAGGCAATCGGAAGAGTGTTGAGTGCACCTCCCCTTGAAAAACTGTTTGGTTTCAAGAAGCCTACAGTACATCAACCGATGTTCTCCACCACTTGATCTAAGCCCCCTATCTCGCGGCTCCTCAATACCAAGTCCACCCAATCTCAAGCAGGCTGGACAACAATCACCTGTCGCATTTAATTATCAGTCTTGCCTGAAGTTGCTTGCACTCTTCCATTTGTAGCAGTAGATCCTGGATTTCTTGGTATCCAGACCATCCACGGACGATTGACCTGAGTGCAAGCAATATCTCTAATTCGCTGTAGTCACCGTTGTACTTCTTTAGTAAATCTACTAAATCAAAGCCCACCTTTGTTGCGGAACTCTCATTCTATGCACAGCCTTCCAACCCATAGCAGCATAGCATTCTGAGTGCAGCCAAGCCACAACAAGGTTTCGTCACCCCTGGGCCCTAAACGCATCAAGGCATCTGCTGCAGCTCGCCGAGACTGGCACACCGTTGCGCCAAACAAAGAAACTAGGGCCAGTTGTGGGCCGGCCCCGGCTTCTTCCAGAGGTTCGTTGGCCGGTCGGGGATCCTATAATTTGTAATTTTTCTTTGAATAGTATATGTGTTCATTGCAGTTCTTGGTGAATGTGGCTCAGCCATGACTGGTTTTGGCAGCAAGTGCTCATTCGCGCCTCCATCTGGTATCCCGCATCTTCTGGTGGCAGCACATCCTGCAGCTGTGCATGGACTGCACCACCTGCCGGTGCATGGCAGGATCCACCGTGCGGGTCCAAAAAATGGGGAACCCGCACAAATTCAGTGAGACTTCTGACGACACTAGCAGTCATACCCACTTATCCGATCTTATCCGGATAAAAAATTGGGGAAACCCCAAGAAACCCCAAAAATTGAAAATCACCATTTTCCCTAACTGCGGACGTCGTGGAACCACGCTGAGGTGAACTGAATGCAGCTCTGCTCCTTCATTTCACACGTTCCTACATCCCAGCGCCTTTCATCTTGAAATGGAGTAAATTCCCCCTTATATATGATAAACACCAGTAGTACCGCACAAGGCGGTGGCGGAAGTTTCAAAAATAGGAAACCTATAGGAGAGATTGGTTGTTGTGAATCACGGATGGCAGAGCGAATCCACTGATGGACCGAAAGGTGGTTGGAGTTGTGTTTTTTGGAGTGGTTGCAGTGGTCACCTCACCACAACTGTTGGATGTAGTGTGGTGTAGTGCAGTTGTAGTTGTATTGTAGTTGTAGTTGTATTGTAGTTGTAGTTGTAGTTGTAGTTGTAGTGTAGTGGAATTGTAGTTGTAAGTTGCAGTTCTAATATGATGTAATTAGTGTAGTGTAGTTGCAGTTGAAGTTGCGGTTGTAGTTGTGGTGTGGTGTAATTAGTGTAGCATATTGCAGTGTATTGTGGTGTACTGTAGTGTTGTGAACTGTAGCGCGGTATAGTGTAGTGTAGTCTAGTGTAGTGTAGCGTAAAGTAGTGTAGCTTGTAGTTGTAGTGTATTGTTAGTAGCGTAGTGTGGCGAGAGCAACGTAGTGGTAGTTGTAATTGCACTTGCAGTTGCAGCTGTAGATGTAGCGTAATGTAATGTAATTAGTGTAGTGTAGTGTTGTGTAGTGTTGTGTAGTGTAGTGTAGTTGTTGTATATAGTTGTAGTTGATGTATATTTGCAGTTGTAGTGTGCTGCAGTGTAATTAGTGTAGTGCAGTGTAATGTTGTAGTTGTAGTTGTAGTTGTAGTTGTCTGTCTATTTACCTAATCTATCTATCGATCTATCTATCGATCTATCTATCTCTCTGTCTGTCTATCTATCTATCTTTCTTTCTTTCTTTTTTCTTTATTTCTTTCTATCTATCTGTCTATCTATCCATCTATCTATCTATGTATAAGCTATTTTGCGAGACTTCCTCAGTTTTTGAACTTGACAACGTCAAAAACGAAACAATTCTGCGAGACTTCCTTCAGAAATGGAAAGTTGAGTGCAGAGCTGACGGCCTCGTACCATTGCGTTTTGCGATTTTTCCACTCCACCTGTCTAAAGTATTGCGCCTTTCACGAAACAGTGATGCCAGGTCATACGAAGTGCTGCACCTGTCACGCAAAATCATCTTAGCAAACCTACAGATCTGATGCTCCAAAATGCAACCCCTCTCAGGAAATCAGCGCCCTGACCTCCTAACAGCTGTGATGAACATGTCTTTTGTATTGCACCTGCCACGGAAAATGCATCTTTGCAGATCCTCTTCAAATGTCCCACGCCTGTCATCGCTTTTGGAAATGCGACAAAACCCTCACGTTTTGCTCACTTTTGACAAGGTGCACAATCCCTTGCGCCTGCCAGGCGAAACGACATCTGAACGTCCAAGAGTGCTCCGTACCCGTCAGTTTTTTGCACTTTTGACTTCGAAATGCGCTTCGCGCCACAACGGCCTGCATTTTTTCGACATCTCAACTTCCAAAAGTGGTCCGAGCATGGTTTTTACATTTTGACTTCGAAATGCGCTTCGCGCCATAACGGCGTGCACTTTTTCGACATCGCAACTCTTAAAAGTGCTCCGAATCTGAGGTGCTTTGTACATTTTGACTTGGAAATGTGCTTCGCGCCAAAACCGCGTGCAACTTTTCATCTCTCATCTGACCACATGGCTCCGCACCCGCCGCTTTAGCGAGCCTACTTTTCGACCCTCCGGAGCCACAAATCATTGGAAAAACACAGTGTTCCGCGACTTTCCTACCTCCTGGATCTTCTTTCTTCTGAGACTTTCTCTTTTTTAATCTTCTTTCTTCTTCTCTTCTCTTCTCTGACTCTTCCCATCTCTGCTTTTCATCTGTCCATATTGTCAGAAGTTTGACTTCTAAACTTGCTTCGATGATGATCAAACCAAAGGATGCAATGGGATTCCCCAATCTTGAGACAGCCTGATATTCACACCTGCAAGAAGGTTGAAACCCACTCATGATTTTCGAGGCTAATATGGTACACAACGTAATGTGATGTAGCATGGCTCTGCAGTCTGCATCTGGCCTGGCTCTGGCCGTTGGTTTCCAGCAGCCTCCCAGAGGCTATCCAGAGCACACTCCCGCACCACCTGGACAGGGCAAACTCTGCCTCCATCTGCACACGACAGGAAGTCACAAAGTCCAATGAAGCCGTCAATGAAGCGCAAAGTCCAACACTTTTGCAACTTGGATGTGTGCAAAACTGCATGCAGAGACCTCGATACAAGGTGCAGGACAGAATGGTTATATTTGCACAACATTCGTCTGAGGAAGTATGTTCTCAAAAAAAAAGGATGCCTTTGATGCCATAAATTGATGGTATACAAGTTTTTGCTTACGCCCCGAAAACCGTACGAGTAAAACGCACATTTTTGAATATTGCTATGTTGGGGTGGGGTGGGGTGGGGGGTGGGGGATGTTAACGTACCTTGTACTTCGTACATGATCCATTGCTACGCTGCTGAGATCTCTGGGAACGTTTACTACGTTACATGTTGCTACGCTTCTGATGGGGTGGGGTGGGGGGTTAACGTACCTTGTACTTCGTACATGATTCATTGCTACGCTGCTGAGATCTCTGGGATCGTTTACTGCGTTACATGTTCTACGCTGCGGGATGGGTGGGGTGGGGGGGTTTGGGATGTTTCACGTACCTGCTGATGGGGTGGGGTGGGGGGGTGGGGGATGTTCACGTACCTTGTACTTCGTACATGATCCATTGCTACGCTGCTGAGATCTCTGGGATCGTTTACTACGTTACATGTTGCTACGATGCTGATGGGGTGGGGTGGGGGGTTGGGGGATGTTCACGTACCTTGTACTTCGTACATGATCCATTGCTACGCTGCTGAGATCTCTGGGATCGTTTACTACGTTACATGTTGCTACGCTGCTGAGATCTCTGGGATCGTTTACTACGTTACATGTTGCTACGCTGCTGATGGGGTGGGGTGGGGGGGTGGGGGATGTTCACGTACCTTGTACTTCGTACATGATCCTTTGCTACGCTGCTGAGATCTCTGGGATCGTTTACTACGTTACATGTTGCTACGCTGCTGATGGGGTGGGGTGGGGGGGGTGGGGGATGTTCACGTACCTTGTACTTCGTACATGATCCATTGCTACGCTGCTGAGATCTCTGGGATCGTTTACTACGTTACATGTTGCTACGCTGCTGATGTGTGCAAAGCATTCATTCCAAAACAGCTAGGAAGCCAATCAGAATTGATTGAGGTTTACTTGCGCGCGTTCCAATGGAGGTATATCAATCGCCTCACTCTAATTCGCACGAAGACAATCCACCAGCTCAACTTGCTTCGAAAGTGAAGAAGAAAACAAAGTGCGCAGTCTGTGTTCTGATAGGTGTCATTGGGAAAACAACATTTTCAAAAAAAACTTGTACGGCACCACAGCGAGAAGGAAAAAAAAAAGTAAAACCACTCTAAATGCGCACTGATTTCGACAATTGTTGGACAAAAATGATGATGAATATACCACGCAGGCCACGTTCTGTCTTTCCCATTTTGATGCGATGACACATGTTATGCGGGCAGAGCCTATTCCAAACGATGTTAAATTTCACATAATTCTCGGACAAAATTGGATGAAAACACAAGCGAAATATGTTTTTTTTCAAAAACACCAGCCAAATTCCACATCATTTTGTGCATGCTACACAAAACTACTCCATTTTTCCCACACGAAATACAAACGAAATACACTTGAAGTGGACCTGATGATAATGAAATTGTGCAAAACGCACGTACGGAAAACGGCGCGACGGGAAGTTTTTGAATGTGTCAAACTGAGAGATAGCATCTTTTGTCTCAAAATTCTGCATAAATAAACCAAACTTATTGAAGTGGTGACCCTTTTAGCTCGCTCTCAAACACCCCTGCCAGGAAGCGTGTGCCTTCCGACGGTCCAGCAGTGCATGGGCCTGGCGACGAGCCCAGAACAACGGAAATTCAGGAATTGGCAGGGAGTTTTATGACAAGGTGGGAGGAAGAGGACCTACAGTCAAGCCAAAACCAATGCCAAATCGTCCAAATCCGAGTCTTTGCGGCCAGCCCAACCTGCGCTGCTAAAGCACCCCGATGCCCAGTGGCAGCTGCGGGGGTCAAGCGCTGCAGGGCGGTGAGCCTTTCGATAAGGCTGCAAAACCGAAAATCCTGGAGGCCTCGCATGTGGGATGGGGCCCAGCCTCAACGGCTGTTCCGTCAGGGTACGTCCATCCTGCCAACGGAAAGCAAGAATTTCAGCATTTGATTCGTGGTATGCAAAAAATCAAGTTTACTTGTTTTTGATGCATTACTATCTCTTGTGAGGGGAAACTTGCTTTGATTGGATTTCGATTGGCCAAAAGATATGTTTTTCTTTGTCAACAGAGTAAAGTTCTTCAACCGTATTCATGGACATCGCAAGCACATTCGAATTCCATGAACTTACAATTCAGAAATGTTGGCTCTTGCAGGTCCTTGAGGGTCGTAAGGAGTTTCTTCACACTCTCCTGGTGGCAGTGTGGCAATGGGAATTCGTTCGCATTGAGTCAAAGATTTCAGCCTGTGGGAAAGCCTGATTGTTTTGTGCATTTGTCAAAGCAAAGCAATGTAATGGTTTGTTTTGAATATAGATTTATGGAAACTGTGGAGACCTCCTATTTTATCATGTGTTGATCTTATCTCCGCGCCAATCATAGGTAAAACCATCCCAAAAGAACCTTGAGGAACCTTGCAAGAACAAAAATTTCAAGTTACTCATCTAGAAAACCTGCAAATGCAATTTGACACTTTGATTTATCTCACAGGAAAGGAACAACATGCAATTGTCAGCGTTTTACGACACTCTGTGTGCCTTCAAAGTAACACCCTCCGCCCAACTGTCACCTGGTGGGAGCCCTGTTTCTTCTCCAAAAGATGACCCCATTGGCGCACCTGAAAGCATCATGAGTCATGATGAGTCGGTCATAGTCTGTTTATGAAAAGTAAGAATGTGCATGATGACTGTCTTATAGATTCCAATGATTTTTCATCTCACTCTATGAAAGCAACCAATCTGGTTGCTTGGTTTCAAATTTTGACTCTACACAAGAATTGTAGCCAATCCAACGCAAGAAACAATTTGTTTTCGCTATCAGTTCGGCTTTAAAGTTTGAATTTACCACTGGTCCATTTACCTTGAAGCAGGTCAGTTCAAGTTATTTTCTTTCGTTGGAGAAACCCTGGCCGACCTGGAAAGTGCGGCAAGGCCACAGATCCTGGCAAATTTGGCAAGATTTGTTCAAAGTAAAACCAAATTCCAATGTCAATTCAACAAATTCACAATTCAATCAATTCATCACTTTCCACATTCAATGCATTTCCAGCAATGCTCGTGCGTCCTGGTCGATCTTGACATCAATTTTTTTCTCGCCTCCGGCGCTACCTGGCAGGAATTTAAATGTGTTTACTTGCAAAAATAACGTTAATGTTTCAAATATGAAATCTCTCCAACAGATCCAGTTTTGTCGGTCCCCCGTCACCTCTTTTTTTCTGCGTTGAGTTCGGGTCCCTGGCACAAACAGGTGAAAATAGTTTTTTGTGCAAAAGCAGCGCTGGAGAAACAACGCGGATATTAACAAATAAATTCACAAAAAAACACGGCAAATACTAAGATTTTTCCAAATAAAAGTTTTGAATGGTGGTTCAATTGTGCAGACATTCATGCCGAACCTGGAATTCGTACGCGACATGGCAAAACAACTTGTGGCATCACCCCATTTTGCAGAGAATCCACAAGCACTGCCAGAATTCGGCCGAAATGAAACCGAATATGGGGTATTGCCAATGTATTGCGGTGTACAAAAGACAATGTTTCACCAAAATGGTTCTTGCAAATGTGTTTATAATGAACTGACATTGACGAAGGAACCTGCATGAAATCACACTGGTTTCAAATTTGCACGATTGGTTTTGAAATGGTGAGCCAAAAGCTTTTGAAATCCACAATGGAGGCTGCATGCAAATAAACAATAACAAAAATGCCACATCAGCAACGAAACCAAAGTAAAAATGCAAAACACAATGCGGGCCCTTTTCCGATCACGGTCCTGATCACACCAAGATTGTTGATTGGTTTCAACGTGTCGCGTGCGACTTGCCAGCATTCACTTGTGCAATTCGCTCAGTTTGACTCCAAAATTTGAAAATAAAATACCCACATGGTATCCAAACAGCTATATAAAACGGTAGGAAACCGTGAGAGCAGCCAGCATACACATATTATCAAGTTTCATGTTTTGGTATAAATTCTGAGGAACACCCGGAACCGGCACTGAGACCTCCAAAACGACCGAATTTGTATCTGTTCTTGCTATTGTTATCGCTAGGATATCAATTTGCTCCACGAAGTGGTAGTTGAGACACCCAGAAATATCAAAACCCGAGATCATTGACGACCAGCCATGACGGTCAGCCACACTACTGGAACCCACGCACATCAAGGTGGCCGACCCTCTGATCTGTCCGAAAAGGTAACCAAATTGCGGTGACGGAAACACCGAATTACCAGACTTCCCTGCACCTCCGCAACCCCCGCGATTGAAACACACTGGACGACAATATGGCCCGAAAGGAAGCAGGAGGGACGAGAAGCTAACACAAAAGAAAATGTGCTGATGAAGGATGATGAATGATGGATGACGATAAAAATGATGGTAAATGAAAACTGATGTGGACAAAATATCAAATATCTACAGTTCGATGTTTTGTCCCGACAAGAGGTTTGCTCCAAGGTTGGCAGTGACAGTCAAACAAATGTCGATGGAATCCAGCTGGGTTATGTTAGCAACCTTGGAACCACCCAACGATATTGTTTTTGTTCACTGACAGATTCCAAGAAAGCCTTTACACTCTACACCGAGCAGTTTTTACACACAAAATTTTCCACACAGAGAAGATCAGAGAAACGTTTGCACAGATGTTTTACGCAGAACAGATTTTATACAAAAGAACCTTCGCACAGAACAGCTACTACACACGGTTTTTTTTGCACACAGAAATTTTTGTATACACAGGGCAGTTTTGACACACAGACGCTTTTACACACGAACGCCTTCACACAAAGAATTTTCCACACAGAACAGTTCCTACACACAGAAGTTTTTGCACACAGAAGCCTTTACACAGAGCGGTTTTTACACACACACAATACACAAACGATTTTACACACAAACGCTTTTACGCAGAAAATTCGTTGCGCACAACAACTCTTAGACACAAACGCTCTCTCACACAGAAGTGTTTAAAAAAATTACTCAGGAGTTGGCCCCGCATTGGCGGCACCGATTTTTCAACAAAACTACGGACCCAAAACTTGGTCCGCGAAGCTTTGATTTGTTTTCCTTGTAGAACACTCCCCCCACAATTTCAATGTTGCCAACAATAGCCAGGCGATGCAAGGACAAGAATTTTGTTCAAAAAAAATCGAAGAATACCTCCTAAACCCTTGCGGCAAAATAAAACTCCATGTGACTACAAACCCACAAAAAACAAAAAACGTAGCAAGTACCACACAACGTTGAAATTTGGAGGGATGCGGCCAGGTAGGTGCAACTCCCCGCCTAAAAGACAAATATCTTATTGACGTGCCTTTCCTTTCGTTGATTTTTTGCTTACACCCACCAAAAGAAATTCGGGTCAATAGGTCTGCCACCTCCCGCTTCTCACAGTATCTGCTTCAATGTGATTGGCTGCATCTGGGCCATAGCCACAACAGGCGAGGAAAACCTTCCAGTTTTTGCTCCAAATCGCCTCAAATCTTCAAATCAAAGAAGCTAGCAGCGCAGTTTAAAAACAGGAAGGAGCTGACCTTCCACACGCAGTTTGCGCAGAAGACCATTTACGCACACACGCCTTTACACAGAACAGATACCTTTGCACGCAGAAGTTTTTAGACAAAGAAACCTTTTCTTCAGAGCAGTTCTTGAACAGAGACGCGGGAACACAGAAGCTTCGAAGCACGAAAGATTTTACACATTTTTCACATAGCAAGACCTTACCACCGAACAAATTTTACACACTGAAGCTTTGAGACACACACAAACACACAGTTGCACAGAGGTTTTTACACAATGTTTCACACACAGAAGTCTTTACACAACGAAATTTTCATACGCACGTTTTACACCCAGAGTTCGACACACACAGAATTATTTACACACAGAAGCTGTTGAACAGAAAAGTTTTTTCCCTCGGAGTTTCGCCGATAAAGTTCAGAGGCTGGGTCCTTAAAGCTGGTAAAACGAATAAAAGCGGCAATCAGACCAGGTTACCCAAGTCACTCCTGTACAACAAAGCTTACTATGGCAGCAACACCACACCATCAAAAAAGAGAACCCAACGGCGAAAGGACGACATGCAAATCCCCCAACCAGATTTGCGTATCGTCCCACGCAAAAAAGACAACAAAAACAACAGAACAGGGCCAGAGCCCAAAGCAAAAACACAACAAGCTGCCACCAGCAGAATTTAAAAAGCATTCAACCCCACAATGCAGGAAAACAGAAACATGCAGTTCAAACTAATTGCGAATAAGATCCAAATCAAATTCAGTGTAAATGGGCAGCAGTGCAAAAAGGTGAAACACAAACGTAAGCTACTCTGTACAAGAAAAACATTGCAAATCTCTCAGCGTCCTCTCATTACTTCTTTGTCAAGTCATCAAGGCACCACAATCAGCCTCCTTTTGACACATCGTACCACAAATTGCCTAATCACTCACTCATGCAGTATCCACAGGACTGGAAGCCTGTGGATTGCAGCCCCCATAAAGGGGGCAAGGGCCACCGAGTGACCACAATAGTTCGCAAAGGTATTAGTGCCTCAACAGAGGGAGACAACTTCGCATCTCCATTTGTCCAGAGCAGGGAGCGTCAGCATAATCCAGTCGGCAAGCAGACACTGCCCATGAGCCACAGTGGAAGCCGATTCTCTTCGATAGGAGGTAGGTCACCTCCCCAATCTCAGGGGCGAGAAGGCAATACATTCAGTAGAATCCAGAGCCTACAGCAAATAGACAACTTCGGCCGCAATCGTGTCCAGATTCACAAAAAATCTCCAAGAGATGCAGCATGCAGCGAAGAGGGTGCTCATCGCGCGTGTCCTGTATACATGATTATTGAGGTTAGAGGCCACCAGGTCAGCATAAC